TTCAGACTTATCGTTGTGTGATTCGTTTATTTCGTACAATTTTGAAGAGGTGACATGTGGCGTAAAGCTTTAATTCATACCTTGTCCAGAGACTCATTCTCGTGGTAGATTTCAGATCCTATTAATGGTGGTATTTAAAATGTTACTTTTACTGCAACAATTTTTTCGGTCCAGCATCGAAACGTCGTTAACGGGGATTGGCCACAAGATAGACACTGCAACCACCTGATTTTGTATTTTATTGGGTGTGTAAGTGGAAAATGCCGCAAAATGACGTCATAAGGCGGCACATTTTCTAACTTTTAAATCTATTTTTCTCCAATTTCCCACGTCGGAAAAAAATTATGAAAAATACTGGGAACTCAGCTCATCAGGCACTCTCAGCAGTTGCGTGGCGTGAATTGCGATGTATCGATTGTTATGCCATTTAAACCTACGGAAAAGGATCGATAAGCAGGGTGTTCGCAGCGAACACCTTAATAATCGATTCTTCATCATAGGTTTAAATGGCATAACAATCGATACATCGCAATTCACGCCACGCCACTGATTCTCAGATGAATCAATATAATGTTTGTATGCAAATTCTCCATTGCGATGGATAGCTTTGACTTGCGGTATTAAAAGGAAATCTCTCAACCATTCAAAATGTGTCTGTAGGAGCAAATGCTCAAATATTTTGCGAGAAATTATAGTTGATAAAAGTTTTTCAAAAAGTTTTGTTCGATATTTTGATGTCCATACCTTCCAGTTTGAATTCAACTTAAAGGTCATTGGATTCTACCGTAAAGAAGAAGACACTCTCTTCTACAAGACGACAGGATGCAAACATTTGTAAACAGGCGACATTGCAAGGTCTCTTCCGCGTACTAATGAATGAAGTTGTGAAAAATTCCACCATTCATTTGATGGAAAGGACGGCGTACAAGATCCTTGACTACTCTTTTCCTTCCATGAAACAAGCAGATCGATCCGAATTATTCATTCATACGGAGACAGGTGCCGATTCGCTTTCCATGAAATCACGTGTAACTAGGGTGAGAAACATCAGATCAGATGTAAGGATGTTACTTGAGATGAGAAAATGATTTCGGGCACCAGTGCTTGCGTTTGCAGAATTTCGAGAATCAGACAAAAGCGAACGCTCCTGAAACCAGAGCGTCCGCGCCGGGTTTTCCCGGACGGGCGACAGTGCAGGGACGCAGCGCCACAATTCCAGACAGGAGCGGTTGGCGCAACCCTGCTCATCAGCGAAAACGCGTGCGCAAATTCAATGCAATCCTGGTAACGCGTCATTTCTGGGCACATCATTCGTGGAAGAACATCGTATGAATCTTTGAGCATTGCCAAATTTCTTTGATAAATCACGAATCGTTTGCAACTTGTGACTCGGTCCCTCAAATCGGAAAATGCACAATTCAGATTGCTGCGGACTACTATGTAGTACATTTATGCGCTTGTGCTGTATTTCTTAACACTTAAATGCCTAGCGGGCTGATTCTTTAAATCAGTAGACAAAGCCATAGACAAAGTAGACAAAAATGATATGGAGGGATCCTATTGGTGGAAGCGGGTGGTTGCTATGGACGAAGGAGGTAGGTAACAGACTAACTAACGGCAATCCACGAGAGACCCTTTAGTTAGTCCATAATTTTCTGCCGTAGTTTATAAGAGTCACACATGTCAATCAATAGGATCGCTCCATACTCCTTATGCCTTTTTTGTCTATAGATTTGTCTATCAATTTCAACGATCAGTCCGCAGGTCAGGTACGGGTGTATGGGGCTGATACGTAACAGCCCTTGGTTAAAGGTCTACAAATCGATGGTGAAACTGCCAAGATGTGTATCTCGGTTTGCGGCATTGCAGCAGCCTGATTATTGAAATGTTTTGTTTGTCGGATCGACATAGATGACATAGGTTAAAAGGCGGAGCGTGATTGGTCGGCTATGTCTTAACGCTGCTTTATCGTGCCTTTGTCAGGAGGAATGATCGACATACTGTCGGAAACTTAAGAGGTGCCGTTAGCTTGTCGAGAGGTCCCGTTAGCTTGTCGAGAGGTCAACCCGACATAGACACGACAAAGCAGCGATAAGACATAGCCAACCAATCACGCTCCGCGATTTCACCTATGTCATCTATGTCGATCCGACAAACAAAAAATTTCAATAATCAGGCTGCAGACTTCCTGTCATACTTTACCTTCTGCATAGCAAACTACTGGGCGTCAGTTTTTGGAAATGTCTGTGATTATTCTTCTCTTCATGAAGAATATTCTGTAAAACTTCAAGCCATGATGTTGGTTCGATCTCTTTTTTAAGAAATAAAATAGCACCGGAGATCTCAAAACGCCGCTACCGAAATACGCATTTTTTGCACTTTCAGCGTCGAAGCGCATCGTAAAAAAAGAATCTGACACCAAGTAGAGAAAAAAGAAAAAAAATCGAGTGTCGGGGAATTGTTTTTTGACAACTGCCCCTATAAATCCTATGCTGGGTGATATTGACCCGACTACCTTATCTGACGGTGTTACGTTGCTGATATAACGGTTGCCTGAATATGGGTCTACGAATACATCCTTAAAAAATGATCAGACATCAAATTGGAAAAAAAGGAAAAAATCGAATGTCAACCCGGCCGTGGATAGGAGAGTTGTAATCAGCCCCTGTTTTTTTTTAACTTTTCATCCAAATGAGCCACACCGCATTAGCAGTGCAGAGTAGAGAGTGCAGAGTAAAGAGTTTTTATGTTCTTGAAGAGAGACACGCCAACTTTAAAGCTTGAAATTCATCAGACAGAATAATCTGCTGAGAGAGAAGGAGGGTCGAAGAGAGTTTTCAAAAAATTATACGTTGACTAGTTTATCACAGAAAAAATGAAGCATGACAGGAAGTCTACGACGTCGCAAACGGAGATTCGTGGTTTAGCAATTTGGTCATTGTCATACGAAATCATGAATGTTCTATTTTGGAAGAGGAATAGGAATAGCGGCACCAATTTGCCGTCAATGTCGTATACATCCGTGGTAAGGAAGAACATCGTATGCAAATTCAAACGTTGCCTAATTTTCCTTGATGAAAAGTTCATTTTTGAGAAAATGTATAAATAGTATTCATTGAGAATTTTAGACAGTTTGGATTAAATTATTAATAAAAGTTTGTTTCAATGGCTTAATTTTGTAAAAACCTGAAATAAAGTTATTAAGATAATACATTTTAATTAGGCTTACTAAAATTATTTAGTTGCGCATCATCTAGGCAGCTAAGTACAGAGGAGATCGAGAGTAAGAATGATAACAGGTACATACGCTATTTGCCCGATAAGGTAATAACCTTGCTCAACTTAAGTGAATAAAAGTGTCTAAAAAACTTTAGTAAAAATTTTCGCAAGCTTCTCAGTAACTTCGTGTATTATTCACGGCGACTTGGCAACGCCTGAAGGTTTCTACAGCGTTCTTCCTTAGCACAATATACGAGAAGCGTCGCGCGTCGCGTCGGCCGCAATAGCTCCCGGTGGATGGCTACTTTCTTTGTCGCGCCTTCAAATCACCAGCCCAACATACGTGCTCGAATAGTTGCCGCGTCTCAGGCGTTTTTTACTGCGCTCGCGCAACGCCTCTCACAGTATACGGCTTTCTTTCATCTCCCACTGCATTATCCTGGATGCGGACCGATTTAGCGGCCACGTCATCCACTATTCGATAAATCTGAAGGTGTCGCTCAAGATGAGTGACATGTTTTCATTTTTTTCATATTGTCATAATTTTCAGGAGCGATAATATTTGTAGTAAAATTATCGAATGATGCATTTACTAATCGGTCCACTTTTAATGCATCTATTAGATTAGCCAGTATTATTTTCACTTGACATTGATAACACGAATACAAATAATGACTTATTCGTCAAATGCATCATTATTAATTGCAATTTTTGCACTTACGTGCGCGGTAAAAAACACTTGAAGTTGAATTATTGCTCCTTAATGATGTCTACGTGCTGGGATGAGGGTTCAGATTTAGCGTAAGAGGGAAATAACGATCATCCACTCCGTTAAGAGGCTCGGTAAAACCTAACTTTAGTGTGATTAAAAAATTGTGACCCTAGTCTTCTGTCCTCGACATATTTTACAATAGAACTGACAGAACAACTATGAAGAGAAAAAACCCAACGAGTAATTTGATTGTTTATGTACGATGAGAGGAAAATACAACACTGGAAAAAAATTCTCTCGGGTCTACTTTTAAGAAATTAAACAAGCAAAAATGCTATTGATTCAATCGGATTTGAATCGAGAGCCAGGCCTCTTAATCTAAGCGGATTTCCTTCTGATTCAATCAAAAATCCGATTGAATCGACAGTATTATTTCTTGTCTTTATTACGAATCTGGACTCTAAACCGAAGATATTTTTTTTTTCCAGTGAAATAAAAACTAACTTGGAGAGAGAGGGAGAGAGAAAAAAAAACGCTTCAGAAAAATATTTCGGGAACGGAATATCCGTAGAAGAGAATTCATGAAATCCCCCTCCGTCCATCAAAAAATCTGCAACAGCAGCAGTTGTAGCTGAGAAAAACGACCAAGAAATCTTGCGTTGCTCAGCGAAATATCACCTTTCCTCTCCGTTCCACGGAACATCTATCCAGGCTGAGGCAAAAATCGGAAAATACATCTAATTACTCCCGTATTGCCTAGAACAAACGCGAAAACAAAGTTGGAAACAGAAACCAACGCACCGAGTGACGAATAGAATAATTTGCGTACGAATACCCGCCTCTTCTCTTTTCCTCTCTCCAATCTGACGATTCGGAGTCGAAGCATACGCCAAGCCGGCATCTGGAAGTCAAATTTCCAAAGCATCAAGCGCGATAAACGCTACGTCAGATGAGTGCTGCGCGTGTGTGAGTAGCGCTGCGTGTGTGTGAGTGAGAGCGTGCACTGACGCACGGGAGTGGGGATAGAGCGCGATGCGGTGCGGGGCGCGAGGGGAACCGGCGAAGCAGTTGGAGTAGCGACCGTTGGTTCACTCGTTCGTCAATTCGTAACCGCCTGTTCTTGCGTACGGAGTCGTCTCATCTCGTGGCGTGGCAGTTCTCTCGCTTTTGGATTACTTCTACAATGTGCATCTGTTTACCATCATTGACTTAATTTTGTGTGGATCATCGAAGTTGTTCTCCAGCTCCTTTGGATTATTTCCTCCTAGTGTTCACCTGAATTTGTGTGGTATTCTACCGGATTTTCGTTTCGATATTTTTGTGTGTGCTACCGTTCAAAATGCGTCCGCGTATCTTATCGCCCCTCTTGATGTCCGAGTTTAATAAAATGATCTCGCTGCGCAACAGCAGTACGAGCACTGCTTCGGATCGCGTCGAGCCGCGACAGTTGATGCGCGTCAAGAAAAACCTTTTCGGTCCCGTGAACCGGGAAGACTCGCGAGTGTTCTGTGAAAACGAGTTGCGGGCGGTTTCGCAAAGCAGTTGCGAAAAGTGGAACTTCGACTTCAACGCCGAGAAACCCTTGGAAGTGCCGAATCCGCGATACCTCTGGGTCAAAGTTTCGCCGGGTGATTCGATACCCGAGTCCTACGGTCTCAAGCGATTGCCGTACCTTTCCAAAAACTCCATGTTGCTGGAACAGGAGAGGATAAGCTGCAATAACAACAACAATAACTTCGTCCTTGATGACCTGAAAATGTCGGAAAAACAAACGCATATCACTGGTGAGTAAATTAATTTCACGTGTTATTTACGTAAAAATCTGCTCCATGAGAATTCTCTAACAAGTATTACTTCAATCACATGAGACATTGCTAAACTGATAAATTTTTTTATCACTGCTTCGAAGAACGAGAGCCGACTTATTTTATCAAGTTGCATTACGCCTGATTTTTCCTGTTTGTCCCAGTAATAATACTATTAATGATGCGCTGGAAATGGGAAAAACTCTTATTGCTGACAAAACTGCACACGATTTTCTCAGGCATTATCTTGCTTTTACTTATTTTTATTTTTTATTTTATCGCAGCTCTAAGGGCTACTGAGGGGCAAGAATGGCAGCTAGTGTTATCTTGGTTTGAGTGAAATCAGTTCATTAGTTCACTCAATTTAACTTGCTCTCTCCATAATTTAATTTTCTCTCCACGCATGTTCAAGGCCAAATTTTCTTCTGTATTTTCCGCACATTTAGATATTTTTCGTAATATCACGAAATTCTCGACTCAACTGTAACATTTTTTCGAACTCGCGGCGATCACAACAATTGATAATTACGGGCTCTGATCACATCCCTGTGTATATTCACGACCTCTACTAATCCTTACTCTAAACTGTTATTCTCAACGTGAAATAATATGCATGCATGAATCTTGGAAATGTTTCATCCGTCTAATCTGGGTTTATGGTTTTCATCCTCAATAGGTGATAGCCCCCATAATTACTGTGTCGTGAGTTCGTAACGCTATTTTCTCTGCTTTTCTACCATTTGCAAATTCATTGGGGGGGAAAAATCAATAACAATTGATGTACAAACTTCTGAATGTAAACAATCCCGTTATCAAGAAAAATGAGCGGGCTCAGAGACCCAACACATACTAGCGCGAAAAATATTTTTCATGCGTTCCTTCTACATACCGATTTGAATTTCCAAGGTTTCTAACTAAATATTTAATGTTTCCGCTTGCTTTACTTAGTAATCGCTCCGGTGATGCATTCTGTTTTAATTTTGACGTGGGTTTCTGTCAATATTTTTCTAGGAATTAATTTTCGATTTTATGAAAATTCCGTTTTGGTGGCACTCGGACTGAATCAAATTACTCACTCGTTAATTCGGTCTTTAATCGGATCTTTAAATCGAATTTCAGCTTAGTGTATTCAACCCGTATGGTCCTGGCGTGCTTCTTGCATTTTCGCCCAGTTATTAAGCAAATCTTACGTAGTTTCCGTCGTAGACTTGAAAGAAAAACCTGACGCGATTTGATTACTTTTTCGGTCATTTTTAAATTTTTAATTCCTCCGCTATACTGCCAGTGTTGCGTCAATGCTGGCCAGCCGTTGTTTACTTGATTTTTGAAAGGTTCCTAGTGATAGCATGCGTTATCTCTCGAACTTGGGATCTGAAATTTCGGGTTTTCATAACACACCGTGAATTTAATTGTGGTTCTTCTCGCTAAACATGTTTATGCCTTCTTAGTGTCCAGCAGCCTCAAGTAATGATCCCTGTAAATAAAATATTTGTCGCCTGGCTTTTCTTTACACCGCTAATTACAGACGGGACCCATGTTTATAATGTCTAGGAATTTTATTTTTAATGATATACAGGGCTAACTATCTACATAATCGGAACTCCCAAATTAAGATGTACCGCGGTACACAAAAAAAAATCGAAAATTCTATAAATAGCAGATGAAAAAGTCGAATGCTCGAAGGAGATTTTGACTCGTGCTTTGGGCCCAGAGGTGGAAGGTCGGGAATAAAATCGAAATCATCATTCCGTCATTACCGGCTCATCATGGCGTTGGGGAGCTGACGGAAAGCTGCGTGACTCACTGTCGGGTGCCGCCACCTGGCGATTCCTCCGGGAACTAGTTCCTACTCTGCGTCGCGTTGTGAGCTTCACCTTGAGTTTTGAGTCACTCGCAATTCGCCGGCCGGCACGATGGTAATTGTGTTTATCTTTCTTATCAGCGACGAGCTTTAAGCCTCGTTCCCGCTCATTAGAGTGTGTCTGTGGACTTTTTTATCCGTTCTCCTCTCCCACTTTTCTACAAGCATGGTCGACAACGCGCTCGTCCCAAGCTCTGTAGTATAACGGACTTGTTAAGTCGCCCGTATTACCGCCAAATTTCCGAAAAATTCACGTGGATCGGAAATTTCGTTCATGAATGGGAGGGGGGTCGGAAATATGCTCATGTGAAGGATAGCGTTAGCTATTAATAATCACTACAAATGTTAGCTAAATAGGGTGAGACCAGAATGCTTTATTAAAGGAAAGAATCATATCCTGGTGTTGCCTCACATTGAGTGAGGGCTCCTACTGTTTTAAAGGTTGGGATTAAGAAGCGGAGAGGTCGCTTCTAAAATGCTCACCACGCAAAGGGATAAGAAGAAGGGGTGTCGTAAACATTTTCGCGGGGCGAAAGAATGCCTACCTTCATCCTACTAAGAGCGTTTCTATGATTTATACTGTAGGATCACTGAGGGAATTGGGAGAATGGGTTTGCGCAAGTCTGAACACAATATTTACGGTTGCATCATCCTCTGCAATCCCGTGCGCGGCAGAAATCGCGCACGTGTTTAAAAGCCACGCCGTCCGTAGGGTGAGAAATGGTCGGCGGATATACGATGGAAACAGGAATACGAGTTCCTGGACAGTCAAAACGCCTTCAAATCTGCGCGTATGCAACACGGACATCCGGAGAGCCCGAATAGTTGTATCCAGGAGTTTTAAGTGTTAGTCACATTCGACACCAACTTAGGACGCTTTGCTCGTTCCGATATTAATCCTGAGCGGAGTGGTGTTTCCTCCCTTCCGTTGCGTAATTAATAATGCGTCGACGTTATCAACGCCGGAGAGGCAGCGACCAATTTGTAACGCCCGATAACGCCGGTCCTGCCACTTAAGTACACGCGCCCTGTTGCCTAGTCTCCGATTGTCGGGTGGATTTTCGAAGCGGGCAATCGCGTGGAGAATGAAGTGATTTCGCGCCACAATTTGGGTGACCGTGACACGTTCTCGGCCGCCATTCCGGCACATCTCGACCTCCGCCCGTCGGTGTCGCGGCGTGATAAGTAGGGCTGTTCAATCGGTTGTCGGTAAGCCACCGAAACAGTTCCGTTAAGAAAAAGTTACGATAAGAGCGCTCTTACCGATAGCGATCAGAGTTTTCGGAGCTGGCGAAAATAAGCTGTTGCCAATTGTACATCTATTTTACGCGCCGCCGCGCCAGGCAATCTGATAAACCGACACACGGGGCAACAATGTATTGAGTGCGAGCTCTCAAAACTCCGATAAGGCCGGCTGTTGTCGATATCATGGCCACTGTCGGTACTGCCGCCAGTTTCAATAAGAGACGATGTCGATAGTGTTCCGGCAAGAATTCGTTTGAACACCCCTAGTGATAAGATAAGGCCGCGCTACATTGTAGCGCCCCACCTACGTTGAGGTTTAATTTCACCCCGCTCTTGTCTCTTCCTTATCTCGGATGTAATGTAATTTTAGTGGGTGCCGTTCCTGTCTCGGCGTGCTTTTTCGTTATCCTGGCGTGTGGAGCGCGCCTTGCCGCGGCACTTATCGCGGTGCCGAATTTGTCGGTCCGCGTAAGTTATTTCGGCTACCTATATTTGGAGATGAAGTGCCGTCGTTTCTGACTTTAATACAAGCTGGCACATGATGAGGAGAAATTGAACTGCATTTAGTAATGAGGAACTACATTTTCAGGCTCATTTGTTTCCCTATGCACGCGTGATTTTACGGATGGGTCAAAACTCGCAGTTCCTAATTTCAAAATGCTGTCTAATTAATGGCATATATGATTCTACCATGAGTCTCTCATTGGAAGTTGTTAATCATTAAATATCAATTTCGGAAAAATTGAGTGTGTTGAATGCCAATTTTTCAATTTCAAGATCATATTTCGATCAGCATGGGGTTCATTTCAGTCCGACCGTTTAGACCCTGCGTGGATGGACGTCATTCGCCATGTTTTTTTTTTTTTTTTTTTTTTTTTTTTTTTTTTTTTTTTTTTTTTTTATAAGGAGTATATTCTCGAATAGTTTCGACAGTAAAAGACTCCACATTTTAGCAGGTCCTAAAATTTTCACCCCCTCAATTATTATTACACTGAAGTGCGATTTTAAGATGTACCTATCTTACCCTGATCACACATTTGAAAAAATGAAAATAATAAGTTTAAAAAAAAAAAAACTAAAATTAAAATTGCATTCAAATATTCCATTTATGCTGAAAGGTAGCTGGATCCTCTCGTTTCGAGCAAAGATCTCGTTCCTCATGCAAGGAAGCAGAAGTTGCTGTCCGTCCGGCATGAGTTCGATTCGAAAAACGAGATCACGCTCTAACCGAGTGCCCGCGCGCGTTGAGTGTGAATTGTTTGCAGATCAACTCGCTCAACCTGATATCTAGATCAGACAGCCTGGAAACTGACACCTCTTCTCTTTCGCTTTCCCTTCCTCTCTCCGCTTTAGTGCACTTCGTTTACAACCACTCAATAGCGTGTTACAATATCAATTTTCAATAAGTTAATAAGTCCCAACTGCACCGTTTCTGAGAACTTGTCGTTGCACTCTTCGCCCTTTGGTTCTTCGTTTCGTTCGATCGTCCTCGAAACTGAGGTTCAAGGTCTACGCGGAGTGCTAAACGCAGAACAAATACTATCAATCGCGTTAGTGGTAATGATCATTCGGGAGCCGATAATAGTAGTCGCGAAAGGAATAGTTCTCCACACCCCTAAATATGAAATAATAGACTGTAAAAATTCAGTGTTGCGATTATTATTGATTTTTCCTCAATAAGTGACAACCGCGCTTTTCATATTCGGGCCCGTTCCCAAACGCAGTTATGGAAAATGTAACGGTCAAATGAATCATGGCTCGCTCACCAGCGCGATATGGCGGCTTATCAGTCCGACATTTAGGGCATTTCCCATTTCAACGCTTATCCACTTCATTAAGTACCTGGTAACTGGTTACCTAAGTAGTTCATTCT